TATTCATGTACAAACAGCTCAATTACTGTTTCTCATACCCAATTTTTGAATAAAATATTGATGATGACATATAAATAACTTGTCATGACTTAGCAGAAGCTCTACAAAGCTATTAGAGAAATAAATTGCGAAACTGAGGTACATTCGATAACTGTGTCAAGTGAAAGTCAATATATACAGTTCAGTTGAGGTTTTCTTAGTTTGAACCCTTCTAGGAAGTTCATGTTAACAAAAATCTTGGACAAGCTGTCTCCTGATGGTGTGTGATCATGGAAGGGCTGTGATCCTGGGCAGAGAGCGAAGATTCATGGGGCTGAAATTGGAAGACCTTCAAAGTAAGACTGGAACTGGCCTCACTGGGAGTTCAATGAATAACTCTTGATTCTTATGCAATAATATCAGCACACAAACAAGAAGCAACGCTTCTGTTTTTAATGCTGAATAGGTCTGAATACTTTAATTCTCTTACATGAAAAGGGAAGACTGCCAGAACACCCAGACAAACAACTGAGTAGCCAAAGGAAAACAATTGCATTGTCTTTGGTTATGAAACAGCAACTAAATGGTCAAGCCTCTATAATTTTGTAACCCATTTTAGTACATCTATAACTTCATTTGGCTTGTAAAGAAACTGGTTGCTGTTTTCTCTCTTCTGATCTTCTATTTTCTTTTATTTTCTTAGGGCCTTGTCATGAAAGCCACTTTAATCTTCGTAGATAAATTTTCAGGTTTGTGGAATTTTTTCTCTTAAGACCTCAGCTGTCTTAAGTCTTTTCCATTTCATCATCTTTAAATATTTTTGGCAATTTGAAGCCCTATTTATAAATGGATATGATTAAGATTAGGCTCTAATAAGTGCTAATCTTTCCCTCCAACCAGGGAGATAAAGCCTATCTTAAACCTGGATGGCTTAAGACAGGTTCAGTTTTGTTTCTTTATCCATACAAAGTGAGCAAATGAAACACTATCCAGCAGCTGTATTCACAGGAAGTATTGAAGATAATCCCTTCCATTTATGATTGCAGTGTTTTTTTCTTTTTAGGCATCTACCTGCTCAACTTTCAGATGTGTAGGCTGTCGATTACAGAGCTGAAACTTGCTAACGAAACCTGAAAGTCACCTGGTTTCTCATCAAGTCCAAAATTTGGCTTTTTATTTTTAATATTTCTGATTGAATTTGGGGTGACCAGGGACAATAGCAGCGCCAGTATTTTTCCTTCAAGGCATTTGTAAGCAGAAATCAATCACCTCATCTTTGCACCACTCCTTGAGGTGAATGATCTGTCTTTTTATCAGGTAAACCCAGATGCTTTGGTGTGCACACCTCTCTGCAGTTCTCAGTTCAGTTCTACAAGTGCCTAGAAGAGCCCAAGGTTGAGCCCAAGGCTTTTAGTCAAACATGGGCCTCTGACTAAGCAAGGCAATCCCTAGTGGTGCAGAATGCTAAAGAATTATCGAACGTGACAATGTAACCCTGGAGTTCTGGGAAGTCTGAAGGGCAGTTTTGACAGCAAACCTAAAACGTCTTTGACCTCAAGATTTTTATAGAATGACAGGTTGAAATGCTGAAATGAGCATTTTATGACACGGAACAATAGCTTTGGCACACAGACCACAGGAATCATGTACCTCCTGGATAACTTTTGTGTTTTCTCACTGCCTTCCTTGAAGATGCGCAACGCCTGTGTTGGTCTTCTGAGCAGATTTAACCAACCCTTGTGCATCAAGCAAAGGGGATTATGCTGTTTAGGAGTTAGCTTGCATTTAAATAGCTTTAATACTCCAGACCATCTTAAATGGGATCTGATGTAAGGAACCATGCTTCACAGCTGGTTGATCGGCGTCTTTCATTCTGCCTATCAATCTGCAGCCAAAAATGTAGAAGGAAGAACAAAATTCTTGCTGTATGACGAAGTAGAGCAAGTCATTCATACCTAATAACTAACCTGATCTCCTCCTGAAGACTGCAAATACTCTGCTTTTATTGGAAGTGTATTAGTAGTACATGGTCAGGTAAATAAAATGATTATTTACATTTCCTGCCTGAGCATGAGAGCAAGCTGTTCTAGAGCAAATTTAAAGTTCATTTCCTGCAAATATGGGTATATGAGATTTTAAAACTAACTTTTCATTCATGAAAATGGGATTTGAACGACATGAACATTTGCGGAAAGTGAAAAGTTTGGGAGAAAACAAAAAGATCCTTTCTTCATTTTCATTATAAACCTATTAACTCATTGCTCCCCAGCCTCACAAAGCCTGAAGTCTTGGGTCTTGTACCTTGGCTTCACAGAGAGCAGTATCTCCCTGTTGTTTTAACAGTCTCTGCTGTAGGCACACAGTGCGACAGTCATCACAGACCCAGGCAGGATGGGCAGTGTGACTTTCCCGAAGCAGAGCCTCCTCCCCTCCTTGGCAGCTTTCCCCTGCAGCCCACCTCTGTACTGGCACACAGCTGCACACAGTGACTCATCTCCTTTGGGAATGCAGGAAGCTGGCTGGAAGTAAAATTGGCCAAATCAAGCCTGAGGCCCACAAAGCACTTAACATTCATCTGTCTCAAGGGCTGAGCCTTATTAGTGGCGTGAAAATGTGGTCAGACAACGTGATCATAGAATAGCTTATGTTGGAGGGGACCCTTAAAGATCATCTCCCATGGGCAGGGTTGCCAGCCATAGACCAGGTTGCCCAGGCTCCCATCCGACCTGGCCTTGAATGCCTCCAGATATGGGGCATCCATGACTTCTCTCAGCAGCCTGTGCCAGTGCCTCACCACCCTCTGATAAAAACGTGATACAGGGAGCTGACTAGGGAGGCCCAAATAACTGACAGGCATCAATCCATAAGTTGCCCAGAACTAAGCTGAACAAACCTCCTTACTTCTCCATTTCATCTGCCAGCTCTTTCTGCCTCTGCAAAGAGGGACTGAGTCATATGTACCTTACCTGAAGTTACAAGATGAACCCAATTAAAAATGACTGAGTTTTGGAGCTTCTCAGACCTGATCCAATGAAAGCTGCTTCCAGCTATTCCAGAAGAATAATCATTACTATTATTACTTTGAATCTGTTGCTCGAAATAAATTTAAGGGACTGCAAATCAAAATAGGAATGTGACTCTATAATATAATGCAGTCTTGGTAAAGTTATTTTGTCTCTGGGCTCAGGTGTTCTTTCTGACTGTAGCTTTAAATACACAGTTTCAAAAACACTGCTCTGAATTACTATAATATGGACTGAACAGACAGAATCTACAAAGTTAACAAATCTGGTTTCACCTGTTGAGAAGATCAGAGTGGGAGCAAAGGTAGTTAACGGCAACAGGAAAAACCTTAAGAAACACAGAAGGTTTATAACTTACAGCACAACTCCACCAGATGGATTTTAGTTGAATTTCAGCTTCCTTATAAACTTTACATTCGCTTTCAAGAAAAGTGACTCCAAGAGAAATTATTCGCTCACCCCTTTATTTTATGTGATCTGCATTTGTGAAAGTTGATTGCAGAAATATGAAATTATATTTGATTATGAAAATCAGCTCAAAGTATACAAATGAAGAACAGAACTGAACACCAGAAATTACACATAAAATAGCTGAAACTTAAATCCTTTAATTATAAATACGGTGATGTGTAGAATGCCAGCATCAGACTGCATTACTTCATCTCTCATGTGTATAAATCTAACAGCTCAAGTCTCAAATAAAACAGGCTTTTGACACTCTTCCAGCTACAGCACTTGACCCAAAGCCCACGAAGTCAGCATGAATCACTGAAGTTTTGGAAGTAAAATGCCAATTTTTTCTGGGAAAAAAAGAAAGAATCTTACATATCAGCTAAAAGCATTGCATTTTTCCTAGCGGAAACTTTGAAATTACAAGTAATCTTAAGCACCATAGCAATGAACGAGATGCAGTTTATCCAGAACAGCATTAATATTGCATTCTTTAAAGACAAATACCCAACGCACTGGCAACTGAACAAAGTCGTTATATGAGATGTGATATGAAGTCCTGTATTTAGGTGGCTATATATAACAGGTTTACCCTACAGGAAAGAATACATTTAAATGCCAAACCATTTAAACCATGCTCCATATACGGTCCAGATGCACATCAGCAGTTGCTAATGACCGAGTTACGTTTCCTCAGTTGTGAGGGAACTTCCGTTGGCCGCCATGTTGGCTGCGTGGTCTCTGGAATTATTTTCTTAAAGCGAATAATAATTTATTTCTCCCTTTTCATCAGAACATCCTCAGTGAAACAGAAGACGCCTGCGATGTTTTAGAGCTGAGAGTATTAGGACACATTTTTATTTTTTTAGATTTACACATATTGTACAAACTGTGATTCTTTCCCAAGATCAAAAAATCCACAGGCTCTCAACACAAATTGCCTGTCAAGGTAATATCTTGAAAACCGTGCTGTAACCAGGATGATGAAGGAAAATTACTGGCAGGCAGATTATACAGCTGTGTGACTTATTTAGTGCCTCCTAGCACATGGGACAAATGCGAATTCTCCAAATGAAGCACATCTCAGAGCACATGCATTTCTAACAGATAGTGGTTTGTGCTTATTAAAGCTTGGTTTGGATCGTAAACAGAGTGCTTTTGCCTAAAATGACAGCTTATCTCTAAAGACTGTTTGTTTGTTTGTTTGTTTGTTTTTCCCCCATCCATTACAAATAAGGGGCTGGCCACTGACATTAGAAGGTCTAGACTCGGAGCAAACAAACTGAAAGACATGATTGATTGAAACACGATTATTCTGTCACTCTCTGTAGACATGCAACTGGAGGTCCCTTCCAACCCCTACGATTCCGTGATGATGTTGCGATGCTCTGTGACACCCATTGCTTTAACCACAATCCCCCCCCCAGCCGCAAGTAGTGCTCTCTCCCCACACGGTTGCTCCACCCCCCCCCCGCAGTGTCGAATGGACTCTCCCGCCACGCGCCCCGCGCAGCCCGCCCCGCCCCGCCGCCTGCTGGTGACGTCACGCGTCGCTGTTGCCATGGGAACGGCTGTGGCGTCGCCGCTGTGGGAGCGCAGCGGGAGTCGTTGTGATGGCTGAGGCGGGATCTTGCCTCCCATCTTGTGCCCAGGCTCCGGCGTAAGATCCGTGTTGGTGGGCATTCCGTGTAGATTGTGATACGTGCTGTAGTCACCCTTTGGATTCTATGCGTTTATTAATATGAGAAAGCTTGTAGGGATGCTGTCTGCTCCCTGTGGTTTGAAACAAGCTGCAGTAGTTTCATTTGTTCTGCACTAAACTCCACGAACTACAATAATCTCATCCATTTTGAAGCTCTTAAGCTTCAAATCCATCCGTCCTTAATGGATGAGGAAGAAATTTCAGCCAGTAGTAGCCATTTCAGCAAAGTTGCTTTTAGATTCTTCTCCACCAGCTGTTAGTAATTACTGACATGTGTCAAGTCGTGAACTGAGGTATCACTGAGATGCACTTTAATTGTACTGATGCTTATTTTCAGGTTTGTGTGAACAGACAGCCGAACTTTTGCTCTTGAGCTCAGTTATCCATCTGATGTTTCTGAAATAGCTTCTCCGCAGCACCGAGGTCCTGCTTTTAGCTGGAATCTGTCAACCAACAGCTGAAGAACCGAAGGTTTGTCATCTGTAAGTCTTTGCTGCTGTGCTTGAAATCGGCTGCTGGTGTGCTTCTTCAGCAGCCTGCTTAGTTTATGTTAGTTACACTGCAAGTGTTTTAGAGCAGGGATGGATATTAAGCTTCTGTTTGGGCTTCTTGCTGTATAAACTTGCCTGTTGGAAGAGTCTTTACCCATGTCTTGAAATGTTGAGAGTAGGGAATAACTGCTCTGCAAGTAACCTTCCCATTCTGAAACAATTTGGGTAGGGCTGAAGACATTTATTATTACAAATCAGCTGAAACTGACTTTGTAGGCACTGATACTGTTTTTTCCTTGGGTGTCCTAGAAAAAATGCATTTCACTGGCTATTAAGCTACTTTCTTTGAAGTTCAGGGAATTGCCCAAATGAAACAGGAAAGTAAATCTTTTCCTTGGTATCGTGAATGTAACAACAAGCTTTTCTTTCAGCTAAATATAATCTAGAGTTGTTTTAGGTTTTTAGTGATGCTTCATATAAACCACTTCCACTCTGCATTTCTCTTTCCACGCATTGGTATTTCTTGGCTTACTAACAATTTTTTTACTGTTTAAATTACAATCAAATTAACATCTCATAAGGTTTCTCTCTCTCTCTCTATTTTTTTTAGGAACAGACAATACTGGGAACCATGAACAACAATAATTTTGTGATACTCCCGGGTTCAAAAAGTGGAACCTCTGTGAGATTAAAAGCAAAGTAAGTGCGTTTTATCTGACTGTGATAGAAATGTTGTATCAGCATTTTTATTAAGTTGTCACGATCTGTTAGGTGGAACAGCTTATTTGTGTGCAAACAAGAATTATCATTAAAATATGTTTGATCACACAGCCTTCACAAACTTCACTTACGTGTGTTTTTCTTCTGGTATTTTCCCTATTCTTTTACTCTTGAGCCTTTCTTCTCTCTTAGACATTAAATTACTTTCACATCTTATGACTCTGTATAACTAACATTTATATGTTTGTGAACAAATGGTGATAAAGCATTCACTGGGATAGTTTATTGCAATATAATTAAGCAACAAACCTTTCTGAACACAGGCACAGTTGGATTACTTTTAGATTAGCTAGATAAGCTTAAATTGGAGAAGCTTTTTCACTACAAAAACAAAGAAACAACATCAACAAACCATAAATATCTTTATGTTGTCTTCTGATCTGAGGCCTTTCAGATCTTATGAGAGTAAAAACCCGCAGTTTACTGGAGAGACTGGAGTCTCTGGATCTTCAGTATGCTGCTTCTTTCAGTAAAGCCCTCTATAATAGGGTAGTCTTGGTTGTAAGGAGGTTGTTCTTGACCTGCAGTTCATTTTGCAGAGCAGTTTTCAGTCTCACTGGAGACAGAAGGGTCTGAGAACCTTACTTAATGAGAACCTGAGAATCTAAGAACCTGCCTTTCTTTTTCTTTTCCTTGCTGCTTTAATGTCTTTCAGATGTCTTAATGTATTTTATGTAGTTCCTATTGTATATTTTACTACTTTAATTTCTCTAGATCTGTCAGAGAATTGCGGCTGGAAAAATTACAGTTGGAAAGGGAAAACAAAGAGGTGGAGAAGAAATTACGGCAACTGCAGTCCAATATGAGCAGAGAAAAAGAGGAGAGAAAGTAGGTGACATTTCTGGGTGCAGACCCTGAAGGCAATTAGCATACTACAGTCTGTACCAACAGCAATATGAATGGAAATGATGAAAATTATATAGCAGTAAGAAAAAACATGCTCTTGACCTTTTCTTCTGGGGAACCTGTTGCTGCTGTTCTCAGCTGCTCCCTAGAGAGAGTTTTCCCTTGCCTTTTCTATGTTCCTTCTTAATTTATTTTATTTTTCTCCCCAAAGTGATCTATTCTGTTAGAGTTAGTACGTGTTTGATAAGCTCTTTCTTGCCTTCATTCATAGGAAATCAAGTGCTTATCATTGGAAGTCTGGACAAGCAGGAGCAATGGCTATCCAAGCCCGACTTTTATCACAAAACAAAGAAAAAATCAATAAGGTAATAAGCTATTGACATATTTGCAGATAAAGCTATTTAAAATGAAAGATTTAGATGATTTGTGCTACAAAATATGGAAATCTTGAATACAGTAGGAATAAAAAGCTGAATAATTCTGAGTACAATTTGTCTTTCCTTTTGAACTAGAGGAACATCAAGCTCTGCCTAGTGATCTGTTGTTTTTTAATTGCAATTGGTACTAGATTGGTAGAAGCAGTGCTAGTTTGCTGTTGTGAGAGTCCACTTTGGTATAGCTGGAAGTCATCATAAGCCTGATGTGTTAAGTCTAAGGCATTATGTCTTGAGTAATTTGAGCTGAGACTGGTAAAAGGTTGCTGTATTTCTAAGTCACCTTACAGGTGATATTATCGCTTCAAACTGCAGTAAGGTAGTCTTAATATTTCCTTCTCTGATGAAATAAAATAATCACTCTAATAACTTAGGCTTTTATTCTTGAAGCTTTTTGTTAAAGTAAACATTAAGCACATCTCTGATCAAATAGTGCTCCTATACTATTAAAATGACAGTTATGATAAACTGAACTGACATTCTTTACTCATTCTGTGAATTTGTGTAAAAAATCTGTAGCAGATTTCCAAAACTAGACTAATTCACTTCAGAGAGAATTCCAGATGTGTTTGTAGAGGCATAAATAGGTCTGAATGGGACTGAGTATTATTGTAGTGGAAATGCTAAATCATGGTTTGGAACAGTGATTGAGCACCTGATGGGAAGGCAGGGCCAACTTAGGGGAGCTCAGGTGCATGCAATGTACCTGAGTGATTGGTAGGGGTGGAGTCAGGATGCACCCCTTCCCAGACATTTAAGGGTTGGCAGTAGAAGTGAGGGTTTCTTTCTGGAGATCCTTGTGGCTTTCTGAAGGTAAGCAGCTTTTTTTCCCCTCTTATTTCTACAGCTGTTGCTGTCACATCTGAGCGGATCCTTGCTTGGTGCAGTCTGGGCTCTTGCAGCTCTGATGTAATTGTTGAGTTTTCCATTGCATTACAATCATGTTATAGCTATGATTTTTATTTTTTTTCTGAAAATATGTTGGAATGAGAGTTATTAATAAAGAGTTATTATTCAAAACTGACTCAACTAAGTCTAAAAAGAAATCCAGGCAGTGACGATATCAGACTAAGCCATCACAAGTTGCTATTAGCAGTCTTCTGAAGCAGCAGTAGTTTGGTGTGAAGGTCTTTTCTGCCAAGATGCTCAATTTCAATAAAATTGCCCACTTGCCTAAAAGTGAAAAAGAGAGGATCAGAGTGAGAGTTTTCTTTAACCCGCTTCTTTCTTCTTCTCCTTGACTGAAATAAGAAGCTTGGAGTTGTTACTACACATTTCTACTTCACATTTCAGCTGTGATGGCTGGGGAGAAGGTGTGTGAAGCAAAGCTTTCAAAATGGTGAAACTGATGTGTGTGAAGATGCACAGGGAGGTGGTGGAAAAGCTTGGAAGGAAAAATCAAAGACAAAAATGTTGGAAATGATTAGTTTATTGCGTTCTAGATCCTGGAAAGGTAACAAGGGGAAGCATAAGCAAAACAATCAATTTCTCACCTCTCTGCCACTGCCCTCAACAAACTTTAGGGGCGATATATATGAGGATAGCTGTGTGGATTTTAAGTCTGTGCAGCAGACTGCATTGGTTGATTTTTCAATTGGAGTCAGTGTGGTTATGGAAGTTCTACAGGTTTGTGTGCGTTCTTCTATGAACCTATGATCTGCGTATTCATTTTCATTAGCATCTTAAGGTTCTTTTTAATATTCATACTTTAATACATTAGTATGTAAATACATATGTCAATACTCTTTCCTGTAGGTTTCTTCAGGAAAAGTGAAGTTGCAGCTACTGAAAGAACCACTTCAAGGTAATGGTTTCTTTATTAACTTAATTAAGAACTCACTAACTTCTGGCAGCGTATCAGGTTCTTGAAAGTTGCTGCAATTAAGCAGTAAAGAAGAAATCAGAGATTATGGTAGCAGGTTATTCAGTTTTGTTATTTTTCCCCAGCGCCGGAGAAAGAACCATTTAAGCATGAAATGTCAAATTATGGAGCTCATGAAAAATCTGAAGCAAAGGAGATGGTTTCCCCTTGTCCACATACTAAGAATGCAGGGCTGGTAAGTATATGGTATAAAAGGTATCAATAGAATATGTATATAAAAGCTTTGTAACAGTATCTAGGCTTGATTATATGGTATAGTATATAAGAGAAGTGTGTGGCCTTTGACAGGAAGGAGTTCTGTCAAGGAACCTGACAAGAGTCAACTGGCATAGATCTCTTCAGTGAACTCCATATGTGGAGATACAAATGTGCACTCTTAAAACACACATTCAAGTCTGAATGATAGTTATTGTCTTATGCTAGCTTTTCTGTGCAGTGCTGTTGTACTGTAGTCATTGGAAGTGTGTTCCTTCTGCCTCCCTTCTTGGAGAGGAAGGAGGAATATATTTGAATGACACTTTTGCCGCTGGGATATGGTAATGTCTAGAAACTGGATTGAACTTTCAGCCTTAGTTTTTCTGGCAAATACAAGATTTTTATACATATTTCACACTTTATTCAGCTGCTGGGAATGGTAAGTCATTTAGGAGGCTGCTTGCTTCACTGGGATGGTCCACATGAGATGCCAAGTTAAAACTATTAGATACACAGTAACTTACAAACAGGAAAAAAAAAGATCTAAGACTATTTTGAACCAACTTTAAATGATCTGACTTAACTGGAATGGAATTATTATAGTAATAGGGTTTTCCACCTGTTTCTGCAAATATGTTGGTAGTGTTCTACACGATGACATCCTCTTCAATTCTATGATTGCTCTCAATGATAACTGCTCAGTACACCTTCAGTAACAGAAGGCTTTACGTGTTGATCTCCAGGAGTGGCAGAGATAAATAGCTCTCTTATCAGGTCTTTAACAGCAAGCTTCCCCAGGCTGTGTTTTCATTCATTGGCCCAGCTGTGGAAGACTTGACATTGCCGCGATCGAAGCAAGCTGAATGGTTGCAGGCAAATAGCGCACATTCAATAGTCTGTGCATATTTTGTACCTCCAAATACTTCGGTATTTAAATACTTAGATAAGCAGGGTGCGTTGATAATTCTGTCTTCTTTCTGAACTCGGGCTTGCTGGATGAGTTACACTGGAACACATCACTATGAATGATCAGCTGGTTTATGTGTGTGTCTTTTAGCAAGGGCAAGCAGGAAATCTACCCTCCAAATCTCCTCTGAACATTACCTGGTATCAGAACTACCTGTGTTTTGCTTCTCTTAGCGCTCAGCTAAGAATTCATTCATTCCCCGCCTGTGCGGTGCAGTGACCGCCTGGGGACACCGGTTGTTCCCGAAATCACCGCCAGGGGGCGCTGCGACTCCACAGCGGGTCGGGGTGGGGCAGCGGGTCCGGCTCAGCGGCTGCTGCTCTGCGAGCCTCTGTGACTGCGGGTTATTGGCTTGTTGTTCACACGCTCGTGTGAACTCTTCGCACTCTGTTGATTGTTAACGTTAGCGTGTGTTTACCACCGTCTCTGTGCTTTTTGTGTCTTATTCTCTTGATTCTTCTATTGTGCCGTTTGGTGGGAAGTTTAATTATAAGAAATGGAAGGTTTCACATTATTCCATAAACAGACAGAAGCCAGTACACGTGCTGGAGAACTGCAAGTTGTTGATCGCTTCAGATTTACTTCATCGATGAATGAAAGAAAAATTAATCATGAGGAGAAGGTGAACGGCAAGCATGGGGTCACTTCAAACAAGTTGCCATCCTCACCAGCATCAGCAGGCACTGTTGAGGTACTGTGCAGTTCAAAGCCAAAATCCTTTTAAACGTTTGTGACACCTTCAGCTGAGTGACCTGAGGTTTCTCTCAGTGTGCTGAGTGTGAGGGATCAGCTTTAACAGTCTAGTGACCTGTATTTATGTCTCTGGGTATAATATGTGTCCTATATACACAGGATGTAGGCTCTCTGTGACTAATGCTTTGTGCCTACTAAAACTATTTACGTTATTTTTTTTGCTTATGCCATTTTTTTCACCCCTTATTTTGCTCTTGACAGAGCACTTGAGTTTAGTTGTGGGCAAGATTGCTTAACAATTGAGTGGGTTTGATTACCAGGGCAGCACAGAAAACTGGGTTCTGCATTCCCTTAGCTGAAAATAAAAATGTTGCTGTTGTGTATGTAACCAGAGAGAGGATTATTATCAGAAGTGCTGTGTTAATGATGCTGTGGAACTGATTTAGGAGCTCTCTTCAGAATCAGACTGTGCAGGCCTTGACAATCAGGACACAGGGATGTTACTAAATGGTATGTTTAATGAGGAAGAATCTGCAAAGATTTTTCAGGAAGCTTTGATTCAATGGAGGAACGGTAATCATGACCTCAGGCCAGAGCAGCATAGTGGTGAAGTTCTACCAGGTATGATTTCTTTGTTGTTTGAACTGCATTTTAAAAACATTAGTAGCCATTTGGATAAGTTAGCAGCTTTCTTAAGTAGCAAGGATAGGTATTCTGCCAGAACAATAAATGTTTATTCTTTCCTCTACATTCTACTGTAAATTAGCAACAACCTATTAAGTTTTATGGCTAGCACCACTGCTGAAAATATTGTGCAATGACTGGTTTTAAGATCTCATGCACCCTACTGAGATTATTTTTTAAATTACTTTTAGTAATAAGAAGAGAAGCCAGGTAACCATTAGATGCACAATCCTATCTAAACCTATATAAAACCAGTGTTTTCCACAAGTTCTGACAGCATGAATTTCTTCTGGCTGAGTCCAGTAAATGGAAACAAGTTGTAAATTATGCTTCAAATGACTCAAAGCTCCCTTTATCTTTTTGTCTAACAGGATTATCCTGACATTCTGAATTTTAGAATTAAGCAAAGGCATGGCTGGGCATAGACTACTGGCTTGATATTCATTCAAGAATAATGTACCTAAATAGCGAGCTTATAAATGTAAATATCTGCATTTGTGTTGTTTTCTTTAATAATTCTAATAGAATCTGTGGAAAATCATGAGGTACAGACCAGTCTTTCTGCTATGAAAGAACACGTCCAAATTCAATTCAAGGAGAGCGGCCTGAGCTACATGGAGAAACTCTTGCTTAAGAAATACAAAAGGTATTGTTGAAATTGCTGGTACTAGCAAAAGAAGTTAGAAATGCTTCCTGGCATTAACAAAATTCCATTGGAACTTTGTGATACTGGGGGATTAATTAGGATGTCTGCTTACTGGGTATGTAATTGTGCAGTGTAGCCATTGTAGCCAGACTTGGTGACTTCATATATCAGAATGACTGCAGGCTATTTGAAGAGAGTCTCTTTGCAATCAATTGGTTGCGGAATTTGAAAGTCAATGATGATATTTGGAAGCCTTATTTTATTTCAGGAATTTTATACAGAAAAAGTGTGCCCTTTAAGGTAGTGCTGTAAATGTAACAAATGCTTGTTGAGTTCCTGCAGCGTGAGGTTATCGCATTGTTCATTCATGTGAGATTGAACAGAAGTAGCTGCTTTTTAGCAGTACTAAATAGTATTTTTTTATGACAAAAAAAGCTAACTTTTTTTAAAAGCCTGATTATAATTCCTTTTTTTTTTTTTTTGGTGTGTGTGTTTTGTTTTTTTTTTTTTCCTCCAGGACTTATGTTGATGAAATACCTGCTAGTTGCCTTAAAGATTTAAGGCCTGAACATAAACCAACTGCATTATGCAAAGCTGTGACTGAAGGAGAGGGAAAAGGAGATGCTTGTCATACAGATGATTTAACAGGTAGTAGATTAGTTATTGAAACTAAATATTACATATTTGGGAGATAGATACTTTTTTGCCATGGTTTCTGAAATATACATTCTTTAATGGTTTCTACCTGAAAAAAGAAAGTAACTATAACTTAGAAAGTAACATAGTAGTTTGTGTTTTTAGAAACGTATCATGAACATGAAAAATAAAATGCAACAGAGTAATTGTGTTTTGTAGTTGAAGAGGTGAGGAGATACTGGACATCTGTTTTTAAAGAGGAAGAATCCAAGAGCATTACAGAAAGTGCGGAGTCCTCTCTGAAAATTGAATTTCTTGATGATGTAAGTACATGCTGAAGAACTTCATAAACCTTCACAGTCATCTTGTATGGTTGAAGTATTGACCTGTTAAGATTTTAAACTAGCAACAGTGTATTAATTTATAATTAAAATATATGCATACATTGGATCTTCTGATCACCTTCATAAAAATATGGAAATTGTAGCTTTCACTTCATAGTAATTTTCTCCTATGGTATCTGTGGACCCATAATGTATGGGAATTACACAAATTTTGCAGGCTTTCTTGTCAATTGAGTTTGTGGTCCTTAGACTTATATTCTATTGCTATTTTTTTTTGTTTTTGTTTTTTTTAATTAGTCTTATGACGTGGAGTTGGAAGAATCATGTAACTTCTTGGTGTGTGAAGCTGAGGCTGCAGGAGTGAATAATCAGAGAAATATTGAACCATCTGAAGAGTTTGGAAGGTGTGAGAAGAGATTATTTGTAAGAGGGAGGGAGTAATGATTAGTGTTCATAAGTAACTGACAAAACTTATCCTTAATAATTAGAACTGTGATATCAAATGAAACACACACAATTTTTTCTGACATCCCAAAATGTAGTTGGTAGGATGTGATCTGTTTTGGTTTATTTTACTCTTGTAATCTTTTCTCTGTTTCCAAGTGCTTCAGCAATTGCAGATCAGCAAAACACAATACCAGACCTCTTGCCAAAAGAGACTGCAGCCACAGTGAAGTCATCCTGTCACTCAACTTTTGTGGCTGATGCTCAAAATTTTTTACCTTCTCCTGATGGAAATCTTGTTTCCTCTAAAGAAATCTTGCAAGGTAAATTTTCATAGTTTTCTTTTTTTGTTATATACTTAAGTTTTATATGCAGTTCTATCATTCTCATGGTAGTTGGCTATTGATAATAGTAATTTTTTTTAAATTAACCATTTGTTGAGCTACGTAAGTGCCATGAGCACAACTTGTGTGGTAGTTATCTCACTTCTGTGAGCTTTTATGTGAACAGTAGCTGCTCTAATGTGAGTTGTAGACTGGAAAGAAATCATTCTTAAGCAGAATGTGATCTTACAAATCTGTTTCTGTTCAGTATTAGATTTAACATGTGGCACATGTCTTTTTATTCTTGCCCATTGCAAGAGGCTTGGAACTAAATGGTCTTTAAAGATCCTTCCCAACTCAACCACTCTGTGATATTTTTCATGTAGGAAAAAATGCTTTTATATTGATAAGCTGAAGAAAAGTATAAATTATAATATTTTCTATGTGAAAGATGGTCTTTGGTGTAAGTGTTCCAGTGCCTGTTGCATTCAGTGTAGTCATGATGAATTCTTACACACATCAATGGTTCCAAGGATCTTACTCTGTGTCTTAAGCATATACAGAATAGGTCACTTGATTAATTTTAAGAAATATGTTGGTCTGTAAGGATACTTTGTTTCTTAACCTTGCAAGTACCAAAGGTTTGCTCCAGCACTTCAGGACCTAGAGTGTGTTCTCTTTTGTACTTAATACAAGGAACTGCTTATTTGAGTCTTCAAACAGGGGGGAGGAGGATCAAGAGCTGACAAATGAGGTGCAGCTTATGCTTTTTTTATAGTAAGTGCAGAAAACTTGATAGATTTCTTCATATCACCTTGTGTTAAATGCAGCAAATACAGTAACAGTCAGTGTGCTTTAATACAGAATCAATAAAGATGTTCCTTTAAATAATTCTTTATTTCAGGAGATGGGAGATGGGTTACTGACATGAGCTTAAACAAACATGCGGATGAGTCTGTAGTTCAGGCTGTCTTAAAAAGTCAAATGAGTAGATCTTCAAGTGGTCTCAAGACTCTTAGAATTTCTCCTCTGGTAACATGCAGACCATACTCAGGTAAGAATAATAATCTTGAGATCCTGCTTTAATAGGTTATTTTGCCTAGTATTTATTTCTAAGCATGTTTGTAATCTTGTTCCATTAAAGCAGAGAATGTGTTTTAAGGTTCTATTTGCTGTAGGCCCCCTGTTTCTGTGTTGAAAGTTGAACTGGGAAATGATTTTGGTTTTTTGTTCCAAATACAGAGTAAAAGCAGAAGAAACAACCACCAAAACATAAATATCACAAAAGTTTTGGAGTTTTGACAGGTATTTAAATGACAGGGATGGTGTCAGCTGCTTATAGGAGGACAATCAATAACAGACACTTACACAGCTTTTTTTCTTTTACAAATGTTCCTAACAGCCTTGGATTACTTTAGATGAGTGGAACACAAGCAGTCTTTGAGTCAGTTTGACTTGTTCCAGCTAGGAAGCACGGAGTTGGAGATTTGTCTGTATTGAGTAGTAACTGTTCATAATGTTTATTTGTTTAAAATTAATGATTTATTATAATCCATTTGGATCAACTCATAACTTAAATTACAGATTACATCAATCATTTTTATCTGTATGAAATCTTCATTATCTGTATGAAATCTTGAATTTGCTGCAAGTTGTGATCTTGTGTGATTTCAGGAAATGATTCTATCAGGTCTCAGTCAACAGATGTGCTACAACATAAACTGACCAGAGACTGTGCAAAATACACTCATCCGAGACCAAAGAGTTCACCTATGCATACAGTTAGAGCTAATACTGAGATATCACAGGACAAGTGTGTTGATGTAATTAAACAAGATGAGCATCATTGGGAATATATTGCTGACCAAGAAGCCTTACTCTGTCTGGAAAAAGAATTACTAACCTATATAGGTAAGTGGTAATATTGCTTTTGCCCCTTAGAGGTAATGTAATGAAAGCATGTAGCTATTTCCTTATTTTTTTGCCCTAATATCAATTAGATCTAATAATATGAAACCAATTAACTACACAAGACTAGTTGAACTGTGATTTATTTCTATTTGATCATACTTTAATCTACCCTTAATTTAATAGAAGCAACTGTTTCATGCAACTGTCTTAATTATTTTATTTATATGTGTACGCTATCAGATAAAGATTTGCTTTCAAATAAGTATCCTTTGCTTCAGTATGTATCCTTACCTTCAAAATGGACACCTTCACTATTGTTAGAATCTAGATTTGTGATACAAGGCTAGCACGAAAGGGAAAAGATGGACAGAAAGTTCTATGAACCTATCCTGATGAGAACTGCCAGTAATAAGGCACTATAGATATGATATTGTCTCACTTTGAGTTTGCCTCGAGCGATTTTGCTTTGTCTTTTTAAGACTGTCCCAGTCTTTATTTCCCTTTTCATTCCACTTCCTTGGAATACTTCTCACATGTGTAGAAGCCTGTAGCAGAAATGTATGACTAGCTGGAAAAATAAGTGTGCTTGCGTGTGTGTAATCTAACAACTCTAGACTGTGGCACTGGCTGATTATCTCTTTGGATTATACTTGTTGGTATATCCATTACTGTTTTAAGTGCATTCTACCATTATCAATCTGCCTTTGCTGCTGTACACCGAGGTCTCATACAGGACATACCTACTATGTTTCTTATTGTGCTGGTATAAGCATCTCAGAACTGAACTCTCTCCATTATTTCTAATGATACAGGAGCTATATAATAAAAAGTCACAATTTTCTTGAGGGCTTTTAATGACATCCTTTACCAGCCACAATTAGTTAAGCACTTAGCACTTAATGCTTTTGTTGATACTGTGAAACTCTTTAAAATTGATAGTGCAAATAATGTGGGGTTTTTTTTGGTTATATTAGTGACTGAAATGACTGCAAATATTTCAGATTCTCAAGAAAAACTTTACGGCCTAACTTCTGAAGATGTAACCTCCTCTAACAGATGCTCAAGGAAGATATATGGAAGTGTTACAGATTTCCATAAAACTCTGGATCTAAAAGACCACAGCAGAGCTGATATGCTTGGGTAAGCTAAATTCCTCAAGTATGTTTTTATGGTACTGTAAAAATTTTAATATGCCAAACATCTTCCCAGAACTGTAAAACAGTCTTAACTTTCTGATTTTACTTTGTATACTTATTACCAACGTCAGCATGACCTATTTTGTATTTTGTTTTTTTTTTTTAAAGTCAGTAATTGCATCTCAGATTGAGTAAAGCAATATATTTTTGAGATCTCAAATTAGAAATGTTGAGACTTTAAAAATAAATTAAAAAAAACTTTGTTAACATTCATTTTAAATATCGATGCTAAATATTACAAGTCATCTGAGCTTTCTGTTTGAAAGATTCCTTTAAAAGGAGTTGTGAGCAAGTGAGACAATTCAGTTTAACTGACTGATTTGTGATGTATCTTTCACGTTGCTTTGGAGACTGAGGAAGAAATTAGAAAAGAGAATATTCCCCAAAGTTCTGCTCTGCCGTTGTTTTCTTATTATGGTCTGGTAGCAAATAATGGTGAGGCACTGTATCTTGTGTGAATATAGCTGACTTAGACTTCTTGTGTTGATAATACTGAAATTACAGCGCAGTAGAAACCTAAACTATTTGCAGTTGGTACAGTGGTATTAATGAAGCTCACTTTTCTAGCTCAACCACCCTGGATTGTGGGATTTCTCCACTAAGGCATACCAGTGACAAGGTTGTTTACCTCCTCCTTGTTCATTTACATCTCCTAAATAAAACGTGATAAAAGCTGAGGGGGTAAAACTGAGTAGAGTAGGTTTTGGTGTATGCAAAACATACAGTAAAAGTTATTTACGTGCCTTTATTCCTGTGTATGAACACATGTCCCTGAGGCTTTACATAGAGATGCTAGAGGAACGTGAGCTGCTGAAAACCACTGTGTTGTGTTTGTTTTAAGGGGCTGTGATGAAGACCAAATAGATGATGAGGAAGAAATTCTGGAGGATAAACGGCAGGTTCTTGCATTACAGTAAACGTGTGAAGAATTCAATGATTTTGTATCTTTGCTTTTCATATAAAAACAGAGAAGCAGATGAAGTAATTATTGAGTGCTGTTGATGTTATTTCTTAAGGACTATTTTGTAGATTTGTAAATAAAAACTTTTAAAAATGACTCCACATGGATTATTTTTCTTACTGTGAAAAACTAACAGAATAAAAGAAAACTGAAAGGACTTGTTGGGTGATTCCCTGCATACTCAGGTTTTTTCATTTGTTTGTTTTGATGTATGACTGAAATGTAGTTAAAGCTTTTTTGATTGGTGCAATCACTTGTTTTCTCCATTGTGGTTCTTATGATATTTTGAAGGTATCTTTAAACTTAACTCTGGTTTTGGTACCAAATAAGTGAAACTACCTAATTGCACTCATTAAGAGTTAGGACTCGGTGTCAGAAATGCAGGATTTCTCTCTGCTTGTGTTGTGAGATTTTGCAAGTGGGACTAAGCTTTTGAATGACAATTGCTGCTATCACCTGACACAACTAAAATTAATGCAAAGTTTTCATGGAAGCATTTGTATAGAAACATCATAACTTGGTTTATATTTTCCATCTGTTCCACTGTTGAGTTGTAATGGTTTAAGTAGGGAGTTTGTATAAAATGTGGCTCTCTGAGTCACACTGTATGTGTATTTGATTGCTATTAACCATTTGATTTTTTTAATGAAGGGATTATGTGTCTATTTCAGTCATTATTCATCACAGCAACAGTGATGATTAACTGATCAGTAAATCATGGAACCTGATATTAGATGTCTTTTAATGAAGATCATGATTTTCATCACAATGTTAACATACACAGGTAATTTTACTAAGTTTATTTTGTTCATAACGTTGAATGTTCAAGGAGAGTCTTTGAGTTCTCATCCTGGAAACCTTGTGGATGTTTGTTTAGAGGTGGCAAATGACCTGTTTTCAAGTAACAGAAGAAACATTCTGATACATGAGGTGGATTCTGGTAATTAAACACATTCTTATTGGTACCTTCCTTAATGCTATGTAACTCTAAAGTGGTGTGCAGTTATTTTCTATCTCCCTCTCACTTATGCACTGAGCACTACATCAGTTTCTTCTACAGGAAGGAGTACCTGAGTGAGCCTAGCTCATAAAGACTGGAATGATTGGTCTGAGCAGACCATTGGTTTGACTTTCTGCTATGTTTCTTGTCTAAAGTGAGGGCATATTTTTTCACTTAAGTTTTCTTTACAAAGTTTACCACGTATCGATGTTTCATTACAGGAGTTCCTTGCCAGGAACTCTAATAATAAAATCAGAAAGCATATTTTCTGCAGATTAAGTCCAATGCTGCTCTTTCATGAGTGCAACCTTTTATTTCTTTTTGAGTTACCTTTCTGCTTGTTCCTGTTATGCTCATTCTCCCTTGAACAGAGAGAGGCTGACTTCTTCCATGCTGTTCCCAACTCTTTTAACTAGGATGCCAGTGAAGCATATGCTACTGTATTTGTGTGCCTCAACAGTCAGATTTTAATCCTTTGTGACTGTAAGAAATTAATAAGAAGACAGTGTGTTTTAACATCTGGATTTACCAGCTGTGCCTTCCTATTCTTTTTATCTGAAAGAAATAGTTATGATAATACAGTTAACGAACTTCGGACTAAAACTTACTTCAAAGTGATAGTAGTCTCTCTAGTCATTTATGCTGTAAGCATATTACAGTTTTGTAACTTGAACTTTAGAATATTTCAAGATGTCTTTGTATGTTCTTTTTCAAGACATATTGGTAAGATTGATAGACTAACTGGATGACCAGAAAGAACACCTGAACTGCATACAGTGACTTTTAGTGAAATGTGTGGTTTTACACTACACAAATCTTATGAATTACTGTGGCAAGCAATTTGGATTTTGCAGTCTATTTTAAAGTGGTCAGTACTTATATATAAATTGTTTTCAAGTTCGTGAACACATCGGTGAATCTCCATGGACAGAAGTTTTGTTTACAAGTATTTGCAGGCTATCCCTAGAGCACTGTGAGTTGTATGCTTGCTGTTCATTTGTTCACTGCTGTGCTCAGATGGGGAATGCTCCATGTCTGTGTGCAGGGGCTCAACAAGAGCATGAAGAGAGACAGAAGGAGAACTGCTTGTATCCTGATGTGTGCTATTGCTACCTTAATTTAAAGAAATAGTTACAAATAACATAACATCTCATGATTATTTATCTCCATTCTGATGCTGATGCTTTATTTTAATTCAGATTCTGTTGTCTTATAATGTGAAAATCTGTGCTTTTGTAAATCACTCAATTTACAAGTCAGTTAAACATTTTTGCATGAATGACAACCAAGGATTTGTGCCTGCAAGTACCACTGTGTGAAGTGGGCTATTTAAAGCAAAACCTATTTGCTTTAGATAAAAGAGAAATACTCAGAATTTGAATGATATGTCAAAATGTCAACCAAATTGTTAGCTGGCTGTGGCAGCTGTTCCATTCTTAGGTTCAATTTATGTAAAAGATAATGGAGGAATGTTGTAGCTGGTTTTGTTTTGTGTGAAAGTATTTTTATATTATGACTTTTTCAGTAATTATCAGTAAACAGCTCAACTTTTATCTAGGTTTCTGGAAAAAATGCTGGTTCCAAAATGTGAATGTCTATCTTCTGTACACTGTTAAAGGTCTAGCCCCATTTCATCCTACATTCTTCTGTGCTTTCTTTTGATGTTCTTCAGCCCTCATTTCCTTTCATTCCAGGAGTGTTAATCAAGATGCAACATATTGCAAAGTGAAGCAAGTAAACATCTTTGTGTAAACATTCTCAATTCCTTCACAGTTTTCTAGATGCTCTCTCTAAGATATAGTACTTGTTCCTCAAACTTTGCATCTTGTCCTTATTCTTGTTTTTGGTTGTTTTTTTCCCACTCCCCATTATAGCTGGTAATGAACAAGTGGAGGTAGGAGAGAGAAGAGACAAGGAGAAGATGTTTGCTAGCACTGCGGAGTTGGCTTTTAATAGAAAGTTTGATATTTTGCCTGTGTGATACAGGAAGAGAATGTTTAAGAAATAATTCCTCTCAGGGCTCCACAACTGAAGTATCTCCAGGTCTCTCCATCTGTACTGAAGCCAAGGAAATGCTCTGGTTTTTGTTCTTTGTAGACAGTCAGTGTCTTGGCCTCTGTTCCTCAGCGGATTCTCTGGCTCCAGCCTTTCTTTAGTTCCTCAGTGTTCTTCTTTGCTGGCAGCTCTTGGTGGGGATGTTGCAAGTACCATCTAAATGCTTCAGGTAGGCATTTAGTTAGTAGACTTAAAAATAATTGATTGCTACTCTTTTCTGTATATGACAATTGAGAACTAAAAGCTCCCACAAGATGCATGCAATGTGGCTCTTTCGGTACAAATTTGAACGTCAAAAGATGTGCAGATTTTCCTCAAATGAGGATGTTGTATTTACCTTGGTTTATGAGCAATATAGCACCAAACAAACAAAACCCAATTAAAATCAGTATGGGTTCAGATATTTCTCTCTTAAAAGATGAAGAGAGTAGGCAAAAAAGATGAGAGTAAAAGTAGAGTTAATGGCATGAAAGTGTACAGCATGCTTTCATGGCTATGGAAATAAGGCTTTATTTTATGTTTTGATGTGGTGGAACTCAAACTAATATAAAAAGCTTGCCAATAGGAAGAGCAGCAACATGTTTGTGTGCTCAATCTCATGTTTGCATGTTTTAAGTATGTACATAGAAGCAGTCTGAATGATCTAATAAAGGCAAAGAATTCCACAGAGTTTCTGGAATATATAGAAGCTTTAGTGTTCTGATTTTGGTCATATTCTGTTACGTACTTCATTTAATCCATCTGGAATCGTGGCTGAAAAGCTGTATTTGTAGTAAAATGGATACCTCCACATCTGTACTTAAGTGTTTCTAGGTAAACTACATTGCGAGTCATGAGCCTTCTGTAGGGTTTGCTGTGCTCAACTGACCTTTCTAGCACAGCTCTGTTCTCTTTAGCAATCCTTATGTTTTGAAACAAATCAATAAATTGAGCAGTAACAAATCACTAGGACCATATGGTCTTCACCCAATACTTTTAAGGGAATTAAAATCTGAAAATATCAGACTGTGCAACAAGTGTGGTCTGGAGAAGAAGGGAAATAAACGGTAATATTTTGTAGATAAAAAAAAAAGCATCTATTATCTCATTAAATTTGCGTTTGGAAGTACACAAAAATGATTGGATGACAGAAAACTGGACATTGATGAACCAAGTACTGTCTGTGGGTGGGAAAGGACCTTAGTCAGAGGCATGGGTGGGGTTTGCATTTGCTAGTTGGGAAATAATCATTGTAGTTCCTTAGAAATGTTAGCTGAATGGCAGTCAGGCTACTGTGTCTGTAACTCATGAGGATATTTTATATGATACAGTATTTAGTATAATTTGTACTGCAGATGTAATGATAGCTGTGTTTGAAATTCAAGGTATGCTGGGCATGCTGACTTCATGTATATACAGCCCAAAGCCTGCAAAACAAAGAGCAAAAGGAAGGAAATAAAAATAAGTGCAAATGTCATCTTAGAACGACAGAGTCCTGAGAATGGTATTATGTAAGTTATGTTGTGTAACGTGCTGAATTGTGATAAATAGGTCTAGATGTAGCATCTTTTTGAATTGATCATGAAAGAGCTGGGTGAGATATTTGGGCAAAGATTGTACCCCTTTTTTTTTGATCGTTGTTGCACAATACTGCTTTAAAATACTGTACAATCCTACAGACTTTTCTCTGGTTACGGAGAAGGATTAGGAAAGGACAAAAATTAATAACCACCCCTTTGCCATTTACAAATATGGGATGCGTGGAAGAAAATTAAAGCAGTCACTAAAGAAAGCAGAGACTAAAGCAGCAATATTTCTATGTAAGTTGAGCCCAAAGCTGGGCCTTCAAGCTCTGCTATTTGATCCAAAGTCAATCACAGCGCTTCAGGTTCTAGAATAAGTGAAACTTCCGCTGGCAGAGGCAATATTGCCTGATGTGTATGATGGACACTAGTGACATCAGTACCTTAAAATCTTTGTCTACATCCTTGACCCATGCCTTTATTTCATGGCAATGCAGTGCTTTGTGAATACTGTGAATCAGCTGCGCTAAGCCATACTG